AAGCAATCAATCAATCAATCAATCAATCAATAGGAAGGAAGGAAGGAAGAAGGATGGAAGGAAGGGATGAAGAAGTGAAGCAGGGAGGGAGTGAAGGAAGGAAGGGAGGGAGAGAGGGAGACAGACAGGCAGAGATCAGTGATTAGACAAATAGGAATAAAAACACAATGCACTTACTAGCAAAAAGAAGCTCAACCGGGCGCGTCTTTCTGGACTCTGCAAACTTTGTCCTCCAACTTAACAGCTTCTGCTTCGGTTCCACCTGTTCCCTGCAAGCAGCCCAAAATCTGATTTTTATTATCATCCTCCTCAACACCAAGGAAAGCCTGTGCTCTACCCAAATCAAGCCAGTTGCTACTCTATCCAAGAGACGTTTCAAGATGCTGACTCTGGGAAGCGTTGGTGCCATGCATTATTCCGGGAAGGCTTTTTTTAAAAAGATAACCGCTTAATCTGTCTAGGGCTGAAGTTGAGGGCAAGGATGCTTCAGAGGCACCGATAGCCAGTGGCCTCAATTTATAGAAGGATAAGTAAGCAAACTGGGGAAGCAGTTTACTCTTAGGGTCTTGCAAGAGGATGTGAAGATTCCGTATCCGGAAAGAGTGCACTCTCAAGTGCCAAATAAGGTGTGATTGTAGAAATTTTTAAAACCTCTATGAACTTTACGCCTATAAGAACAGGAAAGAATTTCAATATATATTTTGAAGCTTAGATACCTTCAGTGCTCCTACTCCACCTCTCCACTGGTCCTTCCACTTATCCCTGTAGGCTTTTAATGTCCCTAGTCCTCAGGAGTTTCCACCTCAGTTAATCCATTACAACATCTCCTTTTTCACAACCCCACTAGCTCCACACAACTCATGGGTGGAGACAACTGTGACGGCTTCAAAGAAGGATTAAACGAGAATCATCACAATGACTCCCAACCTCCAGTAGAAGGGGAACAAGGTGGAGGAGAATGAGAAAAATATGCATAAAGCAGGCAAAATTATTTGCACGTGCATGCCATAGGAGCGGTGGTCCCCTCTACACTTCTTTAAAAATAATAATAAGCCATTTACTCACGCTCGTTCTTCATAGATGCCCATCGTCGAACAAGAAAAGGATGCTCAAAGAAGAGGGGCTGCCGGTTCTAAGTCGGATGCACAGTTGCCAACTTATATATGCAAACTCAGAAGCCAAAAATAGGAAGCTAGAAAAATAGCTAGGAGCCGGAGGCCGGCATGCCTGGGGCCTCCGAAATTCCAGTGAACCCATTGTTCGCCAGCCTCGCTCAGCGTAACAAGACACCCCGCCCGCCAAGCGAAGGCGATCTTCTCCGGCTCCGAACTTGACGACGGGGTTTGCAAGGACCTGGCAAGATCATCTGATTTGCTCAGTGACATTTCTCGGACAAGCCGGAGGTTACTAAACAAGAATTCCCCTTGAGTTTGTCCTCTCGATCATCATCTTAGGACTGTGAAGCTAGGAGGGACTCTTATGGATCATCGAGTCAAGGAGGCCCCATAGGGGGGAATCGAACTCCGAACCTTTGGATCCACAGCCAGAGATCTAAACCACCGAGCTAGCCCGCTGTTCATGCAAATCACAAGGTCGTTTACAACAATATTATATCAATGCAAGTACGCCAGAAGCGTACTTGCATTGATATAAGGATTTGCATATTTGCTAATTGTGGCTAATTGATCGGGTGCCAGGGCTCCTTAGTTGCCATGAGGCCATCAATTAGCTGCAATTAGCCGCAGTGAGTTATGCGAACTTTCTTGCAGAGTTCTGAATTTCGGGTAAAATTCCTTTTTGCTAGGCAGTAGAAGGACAGAGACTCGCATAACAGAATAGCTTCAGATTCTCCCCAGCTAGTCCACCCCTTTCTCCTTAACTGGCGCTTAAGGTCTCAATAACTCACTCTTGAGACATTTGTAGCAGAAGGAGTAAAAAAAATCTTTACTTACAGTTGCTTGAAACGACAGATTTGCTCATGATCAGTTCAGCTGGTTGCTAAATATATGTGCGGTAAATAAAGCCGCACACACAAGTGTGTGATTTTAAGCAATGCTGAGTAAAGAACTGCTTTTTTTAAATTCTTTCTCCTAGAAATTACTCTGTGTGAATTACTGAGACCTTAAGTGCCAGTTGATGAGAAAGGGGTGGACTACGTGGAGAACTTGAAGCTATTCGGCTCTGTGGGAGACCTTAAGTGCCAGTTGATGAGAAAGGTGTGGACTATGTGGGTACCTTGAAGCTATTCGGCTCTGTGTTTCTACGGTGTAACAAAAGGAGTTTGGAAAAGAAATTCAAAACTCCACAATGATTTCCCAAAAAAATCACGTTTTTTTTCCAAGATGAAGTCATTATGTTTTCCAATAAGTCATTGTCTCCTGACACACACACAAACGTACACACAGGGGGAGAGTTGTCAAGGACAGACATCTTTTCCACCACATTTTGGTGGACCAGCATTTTGAAACCACTGCTTCAAAGACCTTGAATTCAATACAGGGAAGGGCAAAGGAGAAAACTGCCCTTAATTGAATTTCAAGAGAATCTCCATGGCTCAAGCGGGAGTCAAAGAGGCCAGAGAAGAATCCCGTCACCCTTGCGACAGAAACAGATCTCCCCTGAGAGTCAGGTTTGAAGGTTTCGGAAAGGGACAAACCGATGACCTCCATAAGAAGACAAGGAGGAAGGGGGGAAAAGTCTCTTTTCTGTTGTCTATTACCTCAGGGCAAGGGAGACGGCACATTTATTAGATGACTAAAAACTCCGGCATGGGCCAGCTTTCGAGTCACGCAGGAGTCTTCCTCAGGCTGGGCATTGCAGAGCTGAGATGCGCGGGAAAGCCAAACGCGGTGTCTTTATTGGGATTTTAAAGGTGTCATTTATCTTAGTTGTTTTACACTGCCTTTGTCTCTGGCACAGGAGAAGATTTGGGGGGGGATGACAAGTGGTAAAGGTGTCATTTATCTTAGTTGTTTTACACTGCCTTTTGTTTCTGGCCCAGGAGAAGATTTGGGGGGGGGGGATGACAAGTGCCCTAAAAAAGTAAGTAAGTAAGTAAGTAAGTAAGTAAGTAAGTAAGTAAGTAAGTAAAAATTTACAACAGGCATTCAGACTTTCTGCCACCCTTTACAGGATGACTGGTCCATTGCCCGAAATGCTCAAATGCTTCCCTTCGGCATGCGGTAAATCGAACAGGATTTTGGCCCTAACGATGGAGAGTGGGGTTCCCCGCCCAAAAAAATGCATCATCAGGAAAGGGTGGGGAGCCTTCGAGCAAGCCACGAAGGCCCTTCGAGCACACCTGTTGGACGCACGACAGGTAGGCATGTCTGGACGGCTGGCGCATCGGCGCCTTGCTGTCCGCTCGGCCGTGCCGGCCACAAAATCTGATGTAACCGGGAGGTCGGTGGTGCAGCTGCCGGTGCATTTAAATCATCAAGGCGTCTCTCCCGGCACTGGGCTAAGTTTCACACCTGTGGGGTAAGAGATCCTTCCACATTCCAGGCGCATTCTCAGTGCGCCAGCAAAAAATCCCCCACGTCCTATTCAAAGAATGGGGCTGCGCATTGGCTTTTTGTCACAACAGCTGTCGCTCTTCCCCCTCGGGAACGCCTCTCCATGGCTGGGCATCCACAGGGAACATTACCTTCAAGGTAGCAAGAGCTGTTAACATTTTAGCCGAAGGGGGCGAGACCTTTTCGGGAATAAGAGCATCAATGATGCACCACTTCTCCCCCAGTCTTTATTCTGCTGACCATCGTTGCTAGATTCAGAATGGGTTTCCAATTTTACACCTCTCCTAGATTTTGCAGGAAGTCACAAGGAAGGCATGAGTCAGAATGATACTTAGAGGTCATCTAAACTGACCCCCCGTATGATGCAAGAAATTAATGGGACATCCCTCAAATGGATTTTCTCCTGACATTCTGACCCAGATCTGCCCTCCTGTGACTACTTTTCTCATAAGCCGTGAACTTGGAGGTTGGTACTTTGTTCAAGCGAGAGCTGGACCATAAAGGCCGAACGCCGAAGAATTGATGCTTTTGAATTGTGGTGCTGGAGGAGGCTCTTGAGAGTCCCCTGGACTGCAAGGAGAACAAACCTATCCATTTTGAAGGAAATCAACCCTGAGTGCTCGCTGGAAGGACAGATCCTGAAGCGGAGGCTCCAATACTTTGGCCATCTGATGAGAAGAGCAGACTCCTTCGAAAAGACCCTGATGTTGGGAAAGTGTGAAGGCAGGAGGAGAAGGGGAGGACAGAGGATGAGATGGTCAGACAATGTCACCGAAGCGACCAGCATGAATTTGACCCAACTCCGGGAGGCGGTCGAAGACAGGAGGGCCTGGCGTGCTCTGGTCCATGGGGTCACGAAGAGTCGGACATGACTTAGTGACTAAACAACAACTTTGTTCATTCCTGAAATGAAACAGAGAAGAAAATTTATTTGACCTCGAGACTTGGACCAACGAATGAGGATGTTCGGACACGAGGTGAACGAAGACTTCCGTGAGGAAAACTGGAAGGTCTGTAGCTACGGAAGATGGCAGAAGAGCGAATTCCAGGACGGCCAGAACGCCGGCCGTTCAGCCTTGCTGGACTACAGTTTCCATGGTCTCCAGCTACTAGGGCTACTGGTCAGGAGGATGAAAGCTGTTGTTCCAAGATATCTGAGGGTCTAAATGGATTGCCAGAATCCTATCATAACGCAACCAGCCTAAATCTTGGCGGCGAATAGCCTACAAGTGAAGAAGTCAGCGTCTGCATGCACGCTTGCACGCCGAGTCCTGAGACGTGTGGCCGCACAACGACACCCTCTTCGTCTGAGGCCACTCGCTGCAGAGACTTATGCAGATGGCTTTACACCAGCGTCAAAATGCAATCGGATTTTGGCCGGTATGTATCTAGTTGTCAAGAAGGCAATTTCCCTGCAGATCATGGCCCTGACTAATTCCCAGACGGGGATGCAATTTGGAGAAACACATTTTGCAGGCCAGAGTCTGCTTCGATGGGAAGGGCTGAGAACCTGGAGATCTTTTGCCTAAGGCCACCAGAACAACCACGTCCAACTCTTTGCAAACCACAATGTTCCGCTTTGCGCCACCGTACATTATATTCCACTATCCGTAGAAGGACTGCCTTTGAAATAAGTCTCAGCGTGTGCACGCCCCCCAAAAAACCCTGTTATTTCACCGAAAATACAAATATTTCAAAACTAGAATTGGCCATCTAGCCCCTTGTGTTTTCCTTCTTATTCTCTCTCTCTCCGTTTTTCTTTCTGTAGTTCATGGGGAACCGGGGAGCACGATATTCACACTCGCTACCCAACAAAATCGCCCACTCCCTTCTAATAGAAGAGCTGGTCTTGATGGCAAAGATCTCAGCATAATCAACAGCCCAGCGACACCCAAAGCAGTTCAAGGCATTGGTCCCTTTTCCACGACGTCATTTTCTTTTTCGCCTTGTATAATGCGCCATCATGTTGTGACCGACTCAAAGCAACCTGATGAATTAGGGATGGATGAAACGCCCCTCCCAGCCCTGGGAAACTTAATGTCATGGCTTATTTAACTGAGTCATTCCATCACACGTTATGTCTTCCTCTTTTCCTACTGCCTTCCCCTTTTCCCAGCATTATTGTCTTTTCCAAGGAGTCTTGTCTTTCCATGGCACACCCAAAGGACGATAGCCTCTGTGGAATCATTTCGGCTGCTAACAAGAGTTCAGACTTGAACTGGCCACGGTGTCTGTGAATATCATCTCCATCACCATGTTGGGTCTGATCTTCTTGAACTGCAATGATCTTGGACTGCATTTCCCAGAAGCCCTCGCCACCCATAGTCAAGCTGCTTCTGGGAATTTTATCCCAAGACCATCTAAGACCCCCCCTCCCCAAATTTGGGAACCACTAGAATGGAAAATATCAGAAATGAGATCTCGCGTGTCACAGTAAAACCCTGTAACCACAGCTTGAACTGCAGGAGGGGGGAAAAACTCACCACCGCTTAAATATTTCAACACTGAATTGCATTTCAACAAATCTTTGGTGCCTTTTCGAAGCAGGCTGAGAAATCCCATGAATTAAATGCCTGTGTTGGTGAAAACAGGTTCCAAATGCACTTTCCTAAACAGAAAGAATTCCACTAGGTTTTATTCTTTTTTAAAAACAGAGTTTTTGAAATAGATGTACAGTAGGTCTTTTTCATATATTTTACCAACTCATGTGCCCTCTCTCTCTCTCTTTTTTAATCTCAGAAATTGAGAAACCACAAAAGGCTCATTAGCACACTCCGGCGCTTCTGTAACCCGATCGCTCTCCTCTGGAATTACATGTGCATCGCTCAATGGAAAAACCAAATTGAACTTGGTGGACGTTGACGCAGAAGGTAACTTTATCTGGAGAGACCTACATAACGTGGTTTGGAGTCTCCCACCGAGGCGCATACCTTCCAGACATCGCGCTCGGGCATCAAAACAATTCAAGACATTCCAGGAAAAAAAAACATCATAGCGCCATGCAGGTAAGAGTGGAGCTTCTGTCTTTTTGATCAGCCCCGATGACGACTAAATACGCAATTACTCTCCCAAGTTCATACTGCAGTTACTCTTCAGATGTTCTCAATCTTTCACCTTTTTTTACCCTTGAAACCAAACCTTGTTTTATACCTAAAATGCAAACTT